CACGTTAGCTCTATATACTTCTTTCGTTAATCTACATATTTCCTCTAGTAGTATGTCTAGTAGCAGTAGAGCTCCTTCTAAAAGGGTTCTTCCAGGGAAGTACTGCTTTACCTATTTCTGTCACCATATGGGACTTGCCAACTTATGTCTCAAAGTGAAGAATAAAATGGCAGTGCCTCTCAGATCTTTACGATTTTAAGCTCTGAGTGACATTGCAATTGCTATGGCCAGGCGTGTTATTCACCACTAGACGCACTTCTTCGTCTCATCACATAAGCAATCATAAGCAATAATAATTACATAGTACATAAATTGTCACGATAACATATTCCCGCAGATCACTCAAAAAATCGGGAACATACCAGCACAATTTCAAAATAAATATACCAGTCAAACATGATAAGCCCACATCCACACACACCTTCTTATGAAATTTTAATTTGGGCTCATTAACACCATTGAAGACGCAACTGTCTTCTTTTTACCTTTCTCGCTTCCACCTGCGGGTTGCTAATTTTTTAAACTGTACTTAACTCGGTACTTTTCAGCTTGTTATGCATTAAATTTGATTGCTTGAAAAGGGAACGAAATTCAAACGTTTTTATTAAAGTGAAAAAGAGAGGTGATTAGTATGTGGCATTTTGTGTAGGCTTGGGACGCCGCTATGGGACGGGTTTCTTTGCCGGATAAATATGTCAGGCGTTTAATGTTTTGTTCAAAACAAGTGGACATGTGGTATTTGTACGATGGATACTTAAATAATGTAAATAATGTTTATAGTCACTTGATTATATTATTTATGTACTTTGTTTAGTTATATTCATCTTGCAATATACAGGGTGGATAAAATTAATGGGACATATGAAGAGGCAGTACCTTAAATGCTTAAGATAGCTAATTTTACTTATTTTTTTTTCTTAATATGAATCTAACCAAAATTGCCTCAAACTGAACTGCTTAACTAAACCACTAAATAACCCAAAAAAATGAATACCTTATTATTTTCTTATTACACAGTGTTATGATTTTTCTGTGTTAATTTATTTATTGTTGTTATTATTTTCCTACAAAAGTATCTACGCGTATATGTATACATTATTAGTATACAATTTGTAGTGTATTTATTTCAAACATTTCTATTAGAGGATATTCTTTAATTAAATTTGTATTCAATTGATATTCAATTATTTTTTGTGAAATTACTCCACTAGTTTATTATAATTATTAATACAAAAATCGAACATTTAGAAAAAAATCCTTCGATCCGGCCGTATTCGAACCGACGTCTTCTAGCAAACCGTGCCAACTAAGCTTACTTAGCATAAGCGGCACGGTTTGCTAGAAGACGAGTGTCTGATCTTTGTATTAATAATTATAACAATACATTCTTTAGTTGCACCCCCCTTTCCAACTTTTAAATTTATATCCTAAGGTTGCCTAGAAACTTTTGCTATTTAGCAATGAAGCCTCCTGTTGTGCAATAACTTATCAAAATAAATTTAAGGATCAGTATGTTATTAATTGATGAAAACGAAAAAAATAATTTATGCTATATTTCCCCATGTAATTGGCAAAAGACGATGTTCAAAGTTTGCCATTTCTTCTTCTTCTTGGGGTGCCGTCTCCCACCGGAGGCTATTATTAGGGCTAGCTGTATTTTCGACACAGCTGCAAAGTACAAGGATCTTGTACTCAGGTTGAACCATGTCCGAAGATTCTTAAGCCAATAAGTACGCCTTCTTCCAGGTGATCTCTTTCCCTGGATCTTTCCTTGCATAATTAGTTCGTATTTAACGTTACGCATTATATGACTAAATTATTGTAGTTTGCGTTTTTTCACATTACTTAAGACCTCTAATTTCTTATTCACCACCTGCCATACTCTTTCATTGGATACTCTATCCGACCAAGATATTTTTTTAAATTCATTCTGTACACTCACATTTCAAAGACTTCTAAGCGTTTACTCGTATTTGAGTTAAGGTCCAGGACTCTACGTCATACAGAAGAACCGAAAACACGTAACAACGTGCCAAACGCACCCTGGTAGAGATCTTCAAGGATCGATTGCACGTTTTTCCCCATCAACAGCTTCAAGATCACAACAGGGATTTCATTAGGTCCAACAGCTTTTCCTGTCTTGTCAGAGTCTATTGAATACATGATTTTTTATTTTGTAATGTCTGGGCCACTGTCATTTGGGCCGTTCAAATGCTGCGGAATGCGAGCATCGCTTAACAAATCATTGCCATTTACGAGGTTTAAAATTATCGTGAACGACAGAAGCCCTCCCCGCACGTACAATTCCTGTATGTCTAGCGCATCCTTGGCAACAATCTGTAACGACCTTTATCTGACTAGAAAATCCTTTCACCAAGATGGTAAGTATTACAGCGTATGTCATCGACACGATAAGATGAAGATCATGAATTAAAAACTTTGTACTGTCGCAAGCGTACTGTTTATCCAACAAAAATGATTCTGAAGAAGCACTCAATCACTCCATTTGATACCGTGACTTTAACCAACCACAGACGACTTGATACCTTTTCATCTCATACATAACTCTGCACAAAACACTCGCAGAGGTTCTACAATACTTTAAATGAAATTCGCCTTTGTTTCACCAAGACTAATATTTTGTTGTTAGGTCAATGATAGAATGTAAAAAGACTAAGAGTGAAATCCTGGCTTAAAAGTAAAACTTACAATGAAACCGAAGGCTTGCTGGAAGTTGTTTTATAATTATTTTTATATAACCATTACTTTATAACTACTCATTCGTTTATTGTTTGATACAGAAAATCTGTTTCTAAGCTGCAATGTAAAGAAATATGTGCAAAAAGATGCCTAAAATAGAGGTATATAATTAATAAGTTTAGGCATCGCAATTACTGATTAGGTTCTAATATTAAATGTATTTATATTTACCATGAAGATTGTAGACTTTAGGTTCTTTTCTTATTGTTTATTTTAATAATCTCATCGCTTTATCTGTGTTTAATTTTGTTATCCTTGTAATGAATTAGATAAAGTTATACCTATTGAAATAAATTTGTCTCATGTTACCTTATATACCTCTAGAGTTGCATTTAAATATTAAATGTCTACCATGACGTGTGTTTGACCCTGTACAAAAGGTTATTTATCATACAGCCTCTCTGCACTTGACATACAATGCTTGCGCAAAAAAACCATAGGAGTGGTCTGTTGGCTTCTTTCCTATGATACTTTTGAATAAACATTGTGAATGTATATATGGTTATACATATATCTAGATAAACGCCGCAAGTGTACGTACTTCGCGTGCCCAATATAAGTTACAGACACTTAGTTGCCGCTGCTACGCTTCAGAACGCGCTCGACCGTTATCGTAGATAAACACCAGTCGAAAACGTGAACAATGCCTAATTGTGCAATTATAAACTGGAAAACCAGCATTACTGTGGACAAACGAGCAAACGGGGACGTTTCCTTCCACCGGTAAGTGATTTTGTAATCAGAAGTTCCATAATTTATTTTAAAAGCAATTATTTTGATTTTGCAATAATTTCATGAAAATAAACATGCAAATGAGTGTATGCCTCATGTTTATCATTACGGCTTTAACTTGGTGCAATATATTTGTGATCCTTTGTTAATACGCCATGAATATCGAACGAACGCACTTTTGTATAATGCATTCAGTTTCAAAGTACGGTCGCTTGTACATTTTTTTGGTCAAATTTAACATTTAGCGATGTATACACGTTAGGCAACACTGTTCTCGATTCGGATCGATTTTAAAAACAAAGAGATGATAATTATTATGGCTATATAGCAATATTATAAAAATATTCTATGACTTTTCGTTATAACGTTAAGTAACGTTTCGTTTTTTTTTTCAGTTTTGGAGTACTATTATCAGTAGTATCTGTAATTTCGATAATTTTTGCAGCAAGTTGCCTCAAATGTCCGAAAACAGTGAGCAAATAATTACCTACGTCGCCGGATATGTAGTAAAAAAATATAAAATGCGAAGAATGTGACAGTGCGCTGTTTTACAAAAACCTGGAGTTGGTCATACGTATGAGTTCGTTGATTTCAAGAACGAAGGTGGTCTAGTTTATCCCACTTAAGTTGCTATCCAAATATGCAGAGTGGCAGAGTTAGAAATCCGAGAAATATTAAACAAATCACAAAAAATTCACACGAGGTCGTGAATAAGTAAACCTCTTCGATTAATAAGATTTTACGATATTTTGTCAGCAGTAACATGTTCAGTTGTCTTGCCATTCATGAATTTGATCAATTACCAACAGAAAACCATCTAGTAAATTTAATTAAGGCAGTCGCAAGTTCATATAATGACGTGCGTTTTCATTATTTAAGTTAATCGATAAGATTTTCTATTAGAAATATATGTTATATAATAAGCTCATTTTATTGGAAGGACAATAATTTTAATATTTGTAGTCAATTAAAAATTAAAGTCCTACATTTTTTACGTAATCAACATTTTATAAAAACAAGTTTTAATAAAGGACATAACTATCTTATTCTAGTATTTTTCTACCATATTAATATTTCACTACTACTTCTAATAAAAAAAAATACTTGAACAAATATTATTTTATTTAGACTCAATTAATTGAAGGGAATACGCGTATTCCGTTCAGTAAATCGATTTACAGCGGAAGGACGTTTCCCATCACCAAATGGTTTTTGTGACGTCATAGTGCGTACAAAAAATGTGGCACACTTGGTTTTCATACAAATTGTTATATTTGCGGTGTTTAATGTCTATGTATATAACGTACAAAAATGCAAAGAACAACCCCTAGAGTTTTCTTATTTACTTATAGATCGTTTTTGTTCTTACTCATTTTTCCTAATGAAACCTGTATTACGAATGAATAGTAATGTTTTAACATTACTATTCATTCGTAATACTATATATATTCAGATTAATTTTTTTATAGTAAACTAAAGTTTATGAATGAATGTTAGGCAATACTTACCGTAAACATTAACTCTGTCATGATGAGAAAGGACAGTCTCTCCGTGGGTAGCGACGCATGAGAAAAGTCCACCGTCGTCCACTCTTGTGTGAGATATATTCAGTTGGCTCACCACGCCTCCGTCCGTTGACATGGTTTGTCCGATGACATATCTACGGAAAAAAGAAAAACTGAGAAAGGTGAACGTTATGTTGTGTCGCTACGGAATTGCATGAAACCATTCCGCTATGCCCTTTACATTATCGGGGGCCTAGACGTGGACTCGGGTTCCACCCTAATGTTGTGGATATACCACAGATTCGCACGAAATGCTTCCATATTTATATGGCGTATGGCACTGGAGTAGAATTCCTAGCCTGCAGACGCATTCCCTGAACGCTACAACTTGGGCCGTTTCAAAGCGAGAGTGAATAGTTATTATAGGTGTGCATGCTTATTACTTTCGATTAGATGAGAGAGAGAGGTCAAATTAATGCGCACTTATTTTACCCATAAAAATACGTCGAAAAAAACATTGGAAAAATAACGCAGAACTTTGCTGAGAAAATATTGATAGACAACATTGTAATTTTGGTACGTCGATCTTAATTATAATCTTTTTAATTAAATCTCCCGTTACAACACAGCTGTCGGTTCGGATCCTGTAATAAATGAACAACCTGATGATATAAGCGTCTTTAGTTTAGTATAGGAAGAGGTTTGACGGTCGATGTTTAAACAATGTTAATTATACAAGCACTGAAATTAAAAAAAAAGTAAAAAAATATGCTATAATATCTATCAGAGAGAGAGGAATAGAGAAAGAAAGAGAGATAGCACAGTGAACGGAGAAATTGCATTAAAACACAACACGACTAAGAACCAAGAAACAAGACACAATTATCATCGTATTAGATTGTATACCTCGTATGTGTTTTCTAAATAATTTTTCAGAATATTTTTTTTTTATGATAACAAGTGACGGGACGAACAAGTCGTGCGCTGATGGTATATGGGACGGAGTTTTAAAACACAAAGATCTGAGGGGCACTGCCACTGCGCCCGTCACCCTTTTTTTTACGGGGGGGAAATCTTTCTAGATACCCCTGAGCCCAGGGAGACTCAGGGGTTATGTGGGGACTCTCCCTTAGGCAGATGTTGATAAGTCTCATGTGCCTATAACTTCACCAGCACCCTTACCCTTCAAAATCATGAACCAAATGTAGTGTAGAACATACACCTCGTTCAAGTGTTACATTACTATAATGTAGCACCATTAAGCACAAAATATGTTCAAGTAAGTGGTTTTAAATTTCAACAAAAATCACTAAAACAAACTATGTAAAAATGCGTATGCGAGGTTTCCACAGTGACATATAGTACAACCATACACATAATCCATACAGACTAATTAAGGACAGTGCCATTGTTTAAGGACTTGTGCGATAAACGGATCTATTTTGCTACAGGGTTCATCCACAGAGCTAATTTGACATAGACCCGGCAACTGACGATATACTCCAGCGCCAAATTATTGAATATTTAACATGAGTAATTGATAACTTACCTGGAATCCGTATTCGAAGAGACGACAACTCCATCTCTCTCCCAAATGAACCTTGCAGGGTGTGGTCCATTTACAGTACACTGTAGATTAACCTGCGAAGTTTATTACTCGTCAATTTTATTGGTCGTAAAGTCTGACCCAATCTACTTAAAAGACTTTAAGATATTAAAGGCATTGGGACGTGCCATTTAAAGATTTTTTGAAGAAAGAGATGTGTTTTTTGAGTGGGTAGTGACTGTACTTTGTAATTTCGATATCGCTGATTTTAAAGAATTGTGGCGCAAATACATGCGATGTCGTCCGTTTGTAACCATCCCACCTTTTTATTACCCTTTTCCCTGATTCCTGGCCACTTCTTTTTGTAATTTTGAATCGTTCTTTAATTCTTTTTCTTTATCATTCTTAACCGTCGCCACAACCATCAAAGTTCCCGAAGAGGAAAGACGTGTCCTTCAATCATGTATACCTAATTACTTAAAAAACAGCAATATATACCTATACGGATACAGGCCCTTTTGGGGTAACTGCATACTTTACATGCATTTATAAGCATGTAATTTTAATTTGGGAATGTTTTATATTAATGTACCTGTGTTTTGTGTTTACAGCCTTTCTTCTTGTTCCTTCACCTTTTCCCTACTTTGTTATTTATTCATTCCACAAGAAATTCATGTGGACTGAGAGTTTTCATCATTATTACGCAAGACCCGCATGACAAGTTGGTGTCTCGGCCGGCGCCGGTGGCGTGATCGGCGTGTACAAATTTTCAGGTATTAAAAAAACACAAAAATATTTCTTAAATCAACCTTTGTATATTTTCAATGTTCTTTACTTTTTATCTACAAATGTACTATGTAGTTTGACAGTACAACAGCACGACCACTTAAATGCCATCTAGCGAGAGAAATAGCTAATCAGAGATATGGCATTTTAATGTAATATAAATATGACTTGCTCAGACAAGAATGTAATAAATTTTAATTGTACGGAATTATTGTATTGACTAATGGTAAATAATTAACGAAAAAGCTGATAATTTATTAAAATAAAACGAATTTATGTCACGCCTATTTTACGCCGGACAGATTCATCGGCGGCTGCATGGATTTTAAAGAATGCTAATTTAATTATTTAATTTAGTTGAATAGCACGATGAAAATAATTGACTATATTCCCGACCATTCAAATAATTAAAATGCCGTGAAAATACCTAATCACGTGGCAATTCATCATAGTGATGAAAGAGACTCAGTCTTTTAAGGCCTTTTAAAAACATCTCGACTAATTTTTAACGCCTCACGACTAGTCTATTATTTTAAACCTCAAGTCTTGAGTCATAAGACTAAAACTGAAGACTAATTGGAGTCGAAGTCTTTTACCCCAGGAAGCTTAAAGGACTAAAAAGACTAAAACAACTGGTGCCTTATAGCCTCGGGAGTCACGAGTCGCGAGTGTGATTTTATAGAAATAAAATCACACCATATGTAGAAACCATGGGTAGAAACCAACAAGATATTTATTTTATGATTGATGGATAACGTTAACGTAGCTTTGTTCACAAAAATCAGTTAATTATAACCAATCCAAGAATTTGTTTTTTGGGAATTATTTGTTTTTTTAATATAAAAATGAATGGATATAGAACCCAACAGTCAAAGTATTTTATCAAATTTTAGTGAATGGTGCTGTTGTTTGACCATAATGATGAATGCAACATACCTACTATTTATGAACGTATTAAGTGGAGGTCCACAGTCTCTGCCTACCCCTGAACGGGTGACAGGCTAGATTTTTATATGTATATGTTTGTTCTGTGTATTACAGATAAATTGTATCTCACTACTGTGTATGGGTTTCTAAAGAGGTTTAAACAAAAGTACCAGGGCTTCATAATAAGAAAAGTGATTACAGACCAATATTACACAAAATAAAAAAAGAGCACGTTAGAACTGGACTTCCATAGATTTAGAAATATTGGTTGTATTTCATTATTTTGATTTGCTCGCAGAAAAAGTAATCATTATATAATTAGGTCTTAAAATCTCGTACCTATTGCATAAACCACTCTTTGAATCCTAATTTTTATTATAAGTAAATAAACGTGATTATTTACTATATATTACGTCATTTTTATTTATAAACTTCGGGTTTAAGAAGATATAAAATAGATATAAGTCCATTGCAAACAACTCGAGTCGTTTAAGTCGTTCAAGTCTTTTAGTATAACGACTGAGTCTTATTAACAAACACTCGAACCTCCAGTCTTAATTTTAGAGTCGAGTCCTGTCAAATCGAGTCGAATCGTTATAAAACGCCTAAAAAGACTGAGTCTCTTTCATAGCTATGTCACGATTCATCGACTATGATTTTAATAGAATCTTTTCTGAATGTTTTCTGCTTTTGCGGTCTATAGACTTGTCTATTTCCAGTTTAAGTATTCGTATTATTATGTTCACACTCACTCACATAATATATTTGCGAACATGGCAACTGAAAAAATATAACTCCCGCTCTCGTTGGCGCGTAATTTGAAATTAAAGCAATATTCCGTTTTCATTGCGAACGTAACTCAACGCGTGCATGAATGGTGAATGCAAGGGTAGAAAGGAACAGTTATCAGGTACAAATTGTCGACTTGATTGTACACAGATTGGGGAATATATTTTCTGCTGATTTTTTGCTCGTTTTCGCACTTAATAGAATTGTCACTGTCATTTAGTATGCGGTTTTGGTTATATTGTGAATAATAGAAATATTGAATTAACGTATTGAGGTTACATCATAGATATACATATCTACGGGTTACATTGAATAGGTACATATTAATTAGATCTTAGTTAGATAGGCACAAGACAGTCAGGTACCAGTCAGGTAGGTACTTTAAAGTATTTTCTTAATGTAAATTCCTTGTTTTTTCTCCACAAAAACGTAGATTATGTGCATTACGTAATTGTGATATTATGCATTTTAGATAATAAAGCTTTGTAGAAATTAGTGCCTGTACTGGTCTCATCTGTTTTTTAGGTCATGAGACCTCTACCTCCGTAAAAAATGAGGAACTTTTCTTGCTCAGACAAATTTGAAAATAAAAAATGAGTTTTAATTTTGATAGGTACAAGTTAGGTAGGTACCTACAAATTAGATAGGATACACCCTCAGTCTCAACTACAAGCAACGCTTTTTAAAACGACAGCGAATATAATTCCTTAAGGACTCTAGCCTCCAAGCCAAAGATATCACGATTTAACATGGAAAGATACTTACGTCTACGCCAGGCATTACAGTGGTTTCCGTAAAATGCTGTGATAGGATCATTTGTAGATTCCTTTTGATTCTTCTACGAAATAGATGATCTGCAACAATACATTTTAAGAGTCTCTCATTTGTTGTTTTAACAAAGTTTGTGCAGCAGAACGTCATTTTCTTTGTTATTGCATGGAAATAAAGACTGCTAACAAAAGCCGAGACTTCGATTACATGAAGTTGATAACGACTTCACGCATTAACTGTAAACTTAAAACTGGTGCTAAGTGTGTATTGGCTGAAATATCACTTAGAACTCGATATCCGTTATAAGCCATTTCAATTACCAATATTTTGCACTTGATATTGATTAAGATCTTAAATACTTAATAAAAAAAACCTTTATTCGTTTTTTAAATACAGTTGGCAATAAATTTTGAAGTCCGCTTCAAAGTGACGGACAATAGCCGAAGCTTACATGCTGTGAAAAGTTTTGTTAATAAGAGAAAATTATAACAAGTCTCCTATTGTATATATACTTAAATAACATTTATAAATAAAGCAGTTCACTCAAATACCTTCATATCGATTTCGCTCTTGTCATATATTACTCGTGTCCTTCAGAAAACAACTTTGTTGGCTGAGAGCCGACGGTATTTAGCTAATGACAAAACGTTTATTATCATTGAACAGTTTTTATTCCCATGAACTACAAATTAATTTATAAAATTAAACCATTTTTTTTTATCTTAATGGCGTATTTTTTTTTTCAAACAAACCAACGTTTTGGGTCCTTTGCGGGTCCCAGGGCCACTGTTGACGACTGTCAGCCGTTTCCTATAACAATTTTTTTATGGTCGTGGAACAATCGAATAATTTCCTATAACAAAATTTTTATAGTCATAAAATTTCAAAATTATTAGTGCTTTCTATTTCTATGACAATACGAACTTTGTTATGAGAACTAAACACCTCTATCGGCTTCGGCGGAAGTCAACAAAACTTTTTTCTGATATTAAAAAAATGTGTAATTTAAACTGCGAGGAATATTTGAAAGATTTGGGTGTATAATGGAAAACAAAAGTGCACTGAAAAAAAGGAATTCCAATCAAGTCTTGTTTGGCGGATTTTTAATTGAATCAATCACAAGATGATTACAATCAAATACTTAATGTTGTTGTGGCAATCATAGTGCATGACAGACTTAGATGGAAAGAAATTACATACCATCTTAAACAGTAGTCTATTTATTTCAGTCTTTTTTTTCAGTGTAACGTACATGATACGTAACAGGAGAGAATATACCCATTTATAGGAAATTATTTTTTTATGTATTATTGACATAAAATATACTTACCATAATGGAAATTATTCTGGTCCAGATCGACGATTCCGGGGAAGTATCTGAAAAAATATTATAATTTGTCAATATGATATTTGAAAGGGATTGAAAATGAAATGATTTTCGTTTATAAATAGATATAAATTTGATGGGTCAATAAGTAAATTTGAAATTCGTTGAAAAATATTCTTTATTGCTTACATGGCGTATTTTTTTCGAGCAGAAGACGCGCGTTTACTCGATTCAAACGTGATTCAGTCGAAGCCAGTAAACATTTGCACACGTTCACAAATTCAGTGGCACCGTAAGGGATAAACCATACTTACTGACGCGAAATCGGCTTGAGGCAATCATGTTTTAACCACACTTGTCGTATTAAGCCAATTCGCCGCCGACGCAGACGTACGGGCGCCGACGCGCCAATTGTGTATAAACTAAGATCAGCCGTCGTCTGCATACGTACGGATGAGATCGGAAGTTCGCAGTAAACAGATTCGGTGCCGACTATGTTGAGCCACGTTCGTGCGAACCGATGCGAAACGCATAACGTCTTTTTCGCTCTTACGTTCATCAACCTAAAGCTTTTTTGACCGGCTTAATGCGAAACCGCGTCGGTAAGTGTGGTTTATTCCCAAATGTGCGTACATGAAACGCGCGGCATCTGCGCAGTTCAAATTTGCTGTGTGTATACGTTATAAACGGCGATATAAATTCCGTTCCGCGATGATTACTCGCGTTTAAATTGATTTAAGTGCAGATATAGACGGGCTTCGAAAGCGCTCCTGTTGCACGTTTGGTTAATTGCCACTGCTCTTACGACGGCCATAGAATAAGTTTGCTAACATGAAGGGAAAATATAGCCAACTTATAGGGCATAATACCTCAGGGTGCGGGTCTCAAAATTTTCTACGTTTAAGAGCGATGTCACATAATGCGTTGCGTCGACACTTTCTTTTCGTTTCTACGTTTCTGAGTGTTCGATCTTTGTATTAATAATTATAACAAACTAGTGG